TACAATTACTGACGCGTATCAGTTTACGTCATCCTATATCTTGATCTGACCTTTCCGAGGCTTGCATTCCATGATGCAACTCCTTGGTTATATGTAGTTTGTTAAAATGAAATTCTAAATGAATCCCTCTTATTCTTGAACTTCTCGTCGGATACTTTTCACAATAGAGAGAAAACGTCCCCGAGTGCGTCGGTGACGATACGAGGAAAGGACGTCTCGTCGATTCGGCGCGAAGTCGTTTCTTCCTGACGAACTCGTAAAAGCGAGACCGAGGACCGTAAACTTGCCCCGGGGAAGGTTGGACAGAGTTACTGAATATTCACGAATTCGCCGACCTACACGCCGTGCTACACCGAGGATGGTTCCCGCGTGTGCGCGCGTGTCTTACATATTCCGTATCCTGCACATAGGTGGGCTCCTCTCGACGCTTCTGTTGCGAGTGGAACTGAACTTTGCAGAGAGCGTTAGAGCTCTCGGGGATACCAAGTCTAAGAGAAATAGCTAGTTTCGAATTTAATCGTTTTCCTCATTCATATATTAGCTTGGTTTCATGCCGTCTTAGTGAACTCCTGATCGTATTACGGAAGATTGGCGGATTAATGTTCTGCCATTCGTTTGCGGTGCTAAGGAGTTTCTGAGTAACGTATATAGTATATATATATAGCGACGATATTGATATGCGACGGATGAAAATAAACATCTAAGTAATTATTATTCAGAAAAATACTAAAATAAATTTATATTTAGAAGCTGAGAGAGAGAGAGAGAGACTGTTTTATTTTTGGAAAAATTGCAAATCAATATTCTGAAATTCAATCATTTTTGTATAATTTATTTAACAACAAAAATGAATAAATGAGATAAAATATTTTTAATTTGAAAATCGAGAAATGCATATATATTTTTAAAAAATCGCTGTTACATTCAAGATTAAAGAAAGAATTCATTAGAGGGATGAAAAAAATTCCTGAAAACTCTGGAATTAAAAAAAATTTATAATTCTTCAAGATTCAACGCTTTTGGAGAAAAGATATCAAGCGAATTTTTTTTCCTCGAAAAATGGAATTAGGAAATAATATGGATGTAAAGAAATTATGCAATATGTAATAAAATTTAGATAATTAGAATTTCTCGGAAGCGTGATCTGCATATATCAGCTCGCTCGTCATTCACGCGCATCAAGATGGCACGTCCGACATTTATTCAGACTGAACTGTTTTTCATCCTCTCTTAGACTCGAGCTGGTATCTATCTCGCATCCATTATCATTCCCGTCTAGGCCCACTAATTAATCACAGAAAGGAAATAAGATTTATCAACAGTCGTAGTGGAAAAATAATTATCTCGGCCACATTATCTCACACGCCAGCTTTATCACAAACTGCCCTTTGCTTATCATATTATCTATGCACGTAACATCCCTGCGTAAGCGCTGTTTATCGGCACGACATCCTTCTCTTTTAGTCCCTATTAAAACATGTCTTATATTCCCAATTACAAAACGATAAAATCAGTAAAATATAGAAATATATGTATTATAAAAGACTTAACCGTCATCTCTAATTCTTGGTTTTTAACAATAATAAGTTAAACAAGGCCGTTTATATAAATAAATAAATCTTAAGTAAAAAAAGTGCCAATATGCGATCAAGTCTAATATCTATCGACTAAATCTTAGTGCTTAATGATATTTCTATACTATATTATAAATATATATCTATATTTAAATATTAATTTTTCAATACTTCAAATTATAATAAGTTCTTTTCAGAGAGAGTATTTAAAAATGTTTGTCATTATATAAGAATCATTATTATTAATTGACCATCAATATTCAATTTATGATACTATTACACACACACAGCTTTAATTTAGGATTATACGTTTTCAACACCGATTGTGTTTAGCGTGCAATTTGATGTAAAAAATATATTTAAATATCTATATAGAAATATTATTAAGCACCAAGATGCTATCTTTAAATCTAACTTCGAAGTGCCGCATATTACCGCTTTTTTAATTAATTAATTCTTTTGATTGATTTTTATTTTATTTCTTTATAAAAACATCTTTCGCAAAGTGGAATATAAACCATTGACAAACAGCGAAATTGACATTATATGTTTATTGATGATTCGCAGGAGTGACAATATATCATCACTCTGTTTTATTAGTCGCGAACGAGGTCAGGCGGGTTGCAGGTCAGGACCATCGAGAGATAACGCGCGTAGGTACGATATATAAATGCAGAATGCAAATTACTGTTAACCCCATGGTCACTTTTTGTGCGTTCGTTTATGTGCAAGAGATCCAAACAATTCATTGTCGGCTCTGCGCTTCGAGGTTGGTATGGATTGGCTTCACGTCGCCAATAACGAACTGCAGCATCGCCAGTTCCGTGTTTCGCATTTTATCTCGTCGTCCCGTCTCGTCGTCGGCTTGTCGACGTCCCTTTCTCTAGATCCTGTTTGCTTTAAACTTGCAAGCGTCGATAATCGAGTTGCAAGCTCGTTCATTGTTAACGTATTATTCTTCGCGCGCTGATGAAACGGAAACAAACGGACGACGATGGAACGACACTCGGATGTCATAGTTCGATTAATATGCGTTAAATGGATGACGATCAACGGAAGCGGAGGGTTATAAAACGCGTAGAGACGAGGTGCAGCAAGACATCCACACGCGTAAAAGTGTAATTGATAATATTTGTTAACGAAGAAAAAAAGAGAGGTCAATGATTCTTCCTCTCTATAGAAACCAAAATATAAAATTGATACATTTTCGTAGTTATAAAATATTTCATGGTATTTTCACAACTCGTATAAATTTTTGGCAACGAATGTTTGGTTTATTAACATCGAACGATCAAAGCAAAATTATTGCATAAAACATTATTTCACTCTAGCAAAGATCGTAAAATTGATTATTAAACTTTCATAGATACCCATAAATTGAAAGTGACGTTGCTGGCATTTGTATTTGATTACGATCTTAATCAAGTTATTAATATATGATTATGAATCGATCGAAACAATAGGGACTGTGCTCTGATTATTTCATGACGATCGAAGAATGAATTTTCGGGCGGAACTTGAATAACATTTATACTAACGGTTTATCGCCGCTTAACGGCCGTGTGCATAATAAGCGGAAGTGAATCGTAGTGTTGCATCGTGCGTATTACGTGGAACATATGGCACGTGAATTTTATATAATAAAATCGGCTACTTCACGAGTACTGTAACGTCAGTATATCGCCCACGGTATGCGTAAGTCATAAAATAATGGACGGTGAACACGCGTGATTAATTTCTCCCACGGCGACAGAAATCGTCTAAAGCGGAAATGCATTTAGGAGCAATTTATCGCCGAATATATACGTGACACGTACTTACATAAACGTGACAAACGCGCTATTTGCATTCCACCCGTTTTCGTTCCCGTAAATTCTGTCGGCGCCTGTGATAATTTATAAATTCGCGGAAATAACTTATTTTAACTGACAGCGCGCTCGTCAAAATTGTAACAGCGATGTAATTAAATTTATCGCGACATTTATTAATTTGTAAATGCGGATTGTAAATAGTAATATAATCGCAATATTATAAGTTTCTAAAAATACTGAAAAATATCAGTCAAGCCTTATTTAATATAAAAGTACATCATTTGTGCTTCTTAAAAAGTAGAAGTTTGATGATTCTCTTAAAAATTGGCATATAACAATACATACCTAAAGAATCCTGTAGTAATTACATAGAAAACTGAGTCCTGGTGAAATGAGTTTTCACATGTTGTAGTTTACAACGTGATGAACAAAATATGTTATACAAGGCTCAAATAAATAGACAGTTTTTCAGTTACAGTGTAACAAAAATGTGGAACTTGTGCTCACAGTGCACTTTTGGGGTACACTATAATTTAAAAAATTATCCATTATTTAAGTCATATCTATATGACATTGTTTATTTACTACATTATAAGCTACAACATATGTCAAAATTAATTCGTCTCAGGATTTCCATATAATTAGTGCGGGGTCTTTTATAAAAATGTATGTTTCTCTTGCTTCATCTCTATTAAAATTTAAAAATAAACTAAAAATATTAATTTAATTAATGCTAATTACTTAATTTATATTAGTTTAATTCGCTTACGGCAACAAATTATTCAAAATCTCTATTCACACACAGAAAAAAAGACTATTCTTAAATCAACCATAATATACTCATATATAAGCAAAAATATTGTAATCTTGCTTTAAAAATTTTAGTCTTGAATTTGTATTGATATAAGATTTTTAATTGAGCAAGTCTTGAATTAAGTGCAAAGTAATACTTGCATCAAAACAAATTTAATCAAATCAAGATTGATATCTTTGAAGCAAGATTATGATATTTTTGCTTATATATGAGTATATATAATGGTTGATTTAAGAATAGTCTTCTTTCTGTGCACAGTTGAAAGACATACACTGGTCACACACGTGTTGCAAATTCAATCAATGAAAATAAATCGTCAACTTAATTATTCTAACACATGTACGTTTAATTTCGAATTTCTAGATACACAATTTTCGTGTGTGTGATCACATCTTGATTAAATAATACAATTATCTTTTTATATCTGGAAGGAAGAAAGGCAGATCGCAATTGTATTAATAATCGTGCATCAAACGTAGACACGTGGTGTCGAAAATGTCAAAGTAGTTTCTTATTCATCGCGAACATCGAAATTAACGTTGCTCCGCTCTTAACAAAGTTGGCCAAGATACGGTCGATGAACGTCACCAAGCGAAACGATACGCTCGGCCGGAGAACGCGAGCGTGACGCTGCTGCTCGATCTTGAGAAGCAAAGCTGCAACATGTTGAGCGAACCCGAAAGTTCGCTCGCTGGAAACGGACGATAAAGCGGCGTGGGTGATCGTTACAGCGGGCGGCAGCGACGGGCCTGATAATACTGCCCTCTCGAGTAAATAATCGAACCAACGCGATTGTTTCAGGCATGCTATGTGTCAGAGCATCGGAAACGGAGGTCCGTGTAGAAGATGACGGGGTTAAGTAGATAAAGGGAGCAGGCCTGGCTGCCATCAACGACGGACGATTCCTCGGCTCTTCTCTTTCTCACTGCAGCGCACAATGCTCTGCCACCGCGCTCTTGTCATTCTCATCGCTGTCAACGTGCCAATCGGTAAGTGATTTCGATTCTATGACCTCTCTCTTTCCTAACTCTTTCGAAATGATTTGTAGAAATTTTTGAAAAAATTAACACGATATTCAGAATTTCTTCTGAAAATATATAAGACATTTCACTCTCATTTCGAATTGTAAATTTACACTGCTGCTTTATATGTTCAATGTGTATTATAGATATTTTATAAATATTACATGGAAGATTTTATTTTTTTAATTTAGAATCGTAAATAACATTTTCGAAGAATTTGGAAAAGTAATTGTTAAAACGTGTTTTTATTCTTCACATTTTAAATCGCGTTTCCATATTTCAAAAGTAACAATTAAAAAATTTAAGTTTTTCAGAAAAGAGGTAATATATAATCTATTTTTCAATTCAACAGAAAATTATTGACTAATGAAATAATATTGATAAAAAGAATATACGTTTAGGAACATAATTCTTGGGAATAAATGTCATTTTTACAACCCTTAAAAAATCATCGTTTTTGAATTGATGATTTCGATATCCTACAAAGTTACAAAAAATGAATTTGGAATACTTTATCAAAAATAAAAGATATAACTCGAAATCATCAATAGTTTACCTTGATCAATTAAAATGATTCAATTCAACATAAAACAATTTCTTCTTTAAACTTTGATCACCAAACTGTTTTGACTCTAAATGTTCTGTGTAGATCCTTTTTTACTTATAAAAACAATACAACTCAAAATGTATTACTCTTGAAAAAGGTATATTATGATCTTTTTTTGAAAACCTTAAGAACGATACATGTGATATTTGATCACAAACTGTTTTGAAGTTAAATCAATTTACTTTTAATTGATTGATAGCATAATCTTCACCTAATTCATCCATGGTAATAACTCGAAAATTATATTCTTTTAGTTGTGTTACTTATAAAGTAATGGAACGAAATTATTTATCCGCAACGAAATATATAGAAATAACTTTTAACAAGAAATATCTCTTCGTTCGTCAATCGCATTAATCGAGTATTCGATGCAACTAAGTAAATTGAAGCACGTGCACGATTTGAGCAGCAAGCTTCTGTTACATATATCATTCCCGGTCCATTACATTGGATACGCTTATTGCGATTGACGCAGAAGTCGATACATTGCGAAAGGTGTCCAATACGAAATCTGTTGTGCCCGACAACGAGCAATAACGCAGATGCAACGGGGGCACGATGCCAACGATGTTCTATATACGCAGTCCGCAAAATAAATAAAGTGTAGTTCGAGTGCCACTTCACTGCGGAAGCGCGATGCCATCCACCGTCGAGCTGTCAGATTCTTGCCCGAATGTTTATCCGATAGCAGTAAATAGAGAGGAAGCGATTGCGTTTTTGCAAATATTTCATCCTGCTGCGTTACGATTTATTACATACGGGACTATTCTACTTCGGCATACGACACCTAAATATATGTTGTCAAGTTTATCAAATTTCTTGATAACTCTTCTTTTATAACATAAACAAATAAGATTCTTAGATAATTAATAGAAATAATATGATACTCTTTGTGTGTGAAAAGAAACAAGTGTTTTGGAGAAGAAATTTTACATCTGCCCGATCAATACACAATATTAAAAAAACGTTTTTTAAATATTTATTTAATACAAAGATCTGATAAAAAAATATTCAATAAGTGTTTAAAAAATATTTTTTAAATATTGTGCTGATTGAGTTGTTTGTGTATTAAAAGGTTATTAAGCTTTCTCGAGTTAATTTGAAAAGAGTTTTCAAAATTTCCAACAATTCTTAAAAATTAATTTTTTACTTGTTTTTATACTATTTTATATGCTCATATTTTTATTATAATTAAACTTGTGCCTGATCCGTTTCTGGGTATAAATATTCTAGAACAACTACCTGTTCTCTTTAAGAATCGTGATAAAAGCTTAATAGCTTGTGCACCGTCGAGTAATTGCTCTTTCCTTTTTCGTGATTGATGTACCGATTAGCTGCTCGAACAATCGACTCGACGCAATAAATTCGATTTAACCTCAGCCGTACTCGATCTTGACGTATAATTCTGCCAATAGGTATCGTATACTAGACTGTGCATCGATTATCCAACTATTGAGCAATTGAAACATGATTAAGATATAAGATGCAACTTACATAAAATAATTCAAAATAGTTGCATAAATCATAATTATGTAAACAAATTATCTGTTGAATAGTCATTAAATAAGCGTGTCATATTCTTAAATATCAAACAAAAATTGAGATTTATATTTGTTACACAACAGTGTACACAATTCGTTTAAATCATTTAAAATTTACTTAATGCTCGAATAATGATCGCTACTTTTAATGTTTTAAGAGAGACGAGAGCATATAGTTTATAATAATATACATTCATAGTATATAATAACTAATAATAAAATTAATATTTAAATTCCTTTCTGTTAATTCAATTTTTCCGTAAAGTATTTTCTGATAAAACAAAAATATTTTTTCAATCCATTAGAATGTCAAATTATAACATAAATAAAAAAACAGCCACTTCCAAAAATTTCACTTATTTATTACTGATCCTAAATGCATCGCGTGAAATAACTGAAAATGATCTGTAAATCGCTTGAAAGAGCATATTCAAGTAAAATGTGCACGAGTTGCACGAATACGGGTAATTCAAGTCCGAGTTTATTCGTAATTAACATGAGCTAGTTGAGAAATAATAAACGAACGTTCATTGCGAAGTCCGAACCGAGCGATGACAACATCTGGCGCGGATACCATGATACTAAATATACTACGTATATCATACAAACGCGTGTGCACGGTATATCTCGAATGTTGCCGGCACCCAAAGTGCGTCGGAAACGCCGCGAGCCTGGTCGCTGTCACTGATGTTTATTGGCACAGAGAGTATCCACCACACGTACTGAAATTAATGATAGCTTGTTTAGATTATAGTCCACGGACATAGTTGGCCTCCGGCAATCTTCCCATGTCACTTAACTCTATATTAAACTTCCGAGATACAAGGATATGCGAAAGTCAATAATTAAGTAATTGAAAATATCGAATTTTTGTGCGAGGATAATTTGAGCATCACACGTTGAAAGTTTGCGTGTTATATTTTAGAAATAATTTATAGGTCAGAATATTTAAGTAGTTGAAATGAAAATATACACTCTAAATGTTTCATAATCTTCTCTGAGATACGATAAATTTAAGGCAAATTTACATATAGAGTACTTTCTTCGTAATATCAATATCAACAATATCGATATCGCCATTACCTCGGTATTAAATGTCAACGATTTTTGTGCAATAATACAAAGAAAAAAATCAAGAAAATAGACTCGTGTCGATGCAGAGATAGAGTCGCGCAATTTGCGATCGACGGGATACACGTCCTATAATCCGTCCTGTGCAACGCCGACGACGTCCGATGCAGATGCAATGGAGGATCGGTGCCAAATACGTTATACGGGCCACGGGAAATGGGCACGTAGATCGCAGATATGGCGCGTCCTCCAGTACTGCGGCATGGGTCGCTCCGGTCTGGTCAACTTCTGGCCCTGATGTTTATTCGGCGCGAGTGGAAGCGTCGACTGCGCTTGTCGTTCGAATTAATTTACCGCTTGCGGGCCTCCGGTCTCTTCACAGATATAGATAGATAGAGAGAGAGATAGATGGACAGAGAGAAAGAGAGAAATGAGAGATAGCAAGAGAGACAGGTAGAATCTCGACGGTATCGTTCAATCTCGTTAGAAACGAGTATACAAGATGTATGTATTCGTCGCGCACTTTTTAACCGAATAAAGAAATTTCGTTTAAATTAAAAATTTGTAGGTACACGTCTATTTCTAGTCTATCTATTTTAAACGGCGTGACTTATATCTCGAGACAAATTAGTACATGGGAACATTTATAACCAATTATTTCTATTTAAATTAATTTCGTATGAATAATTTCATTTGGCGTCTCCACAAAAAAAATTCTATTTTATATATTTTTCTAGAACAGATCTTTAGTATCTATGTATATTCAAGCTTACTCTTTGTAGATATCGTCTTTCTCTCTTTGGACAGACGTTGAAAAATTGAAGCGCATTGTCGAAAATTACTATCAAATTGGCCGTGCAATGTCGTAAGACGATATCCTTGTCAACCGCAAGGAATACCACCTCACGTCCACGCTATAAAGAAACCGGAGTACCTTATCCACCGGTAGCCGGCGAGATGCTACAAGTCGAGCGTTTCCAGATGCATCATGAAAAATGCACCACCCAAACGTGTCTGGGACCGACGCAAGATTGGCGGGGTGGACTCCGGTGGAGATTTGACTCGATGAATCGAGTGAACGGCTACTAGCCGAGTGAAAGAAAGAAAAAAGGGGAAAAAAGGAGCAAACGATGGAGGTTTTATCCGTCGGTGACCGGATAAGATTGTTTGTCTATACTGCGGATCAACGGTGAGATTCACCGATTGTTCCACAAGGCACTGCCAGCATCGCTTTTCCATCCCTTGGCGTTCCTTATCGGGCAAACAACGACCTTTCCGGCCAAATTGGTCGGTCTGACTCGGAACCGAGTAAAACGTGATTAATCGCTCGCCTCCTTTCGCGGGAATGTATCTACCTCGCCAACTCTCCAGTGGTTATATAGCGATAAACGGATAACCGCGGTCCAGACCCAATTGAGTCTCGATATAGGATAGATACGCCGCGCGCATCGCTTTCGATCTTGGAGGAAAAAAAAAAAGTAATGCGAAAGACGGAAACAGAAGGAGACGGCGTGGGAGAAAGATACATTCGTTAGGTGTTAGTTCGTTAAACCGATTTCTTTTTCCATCACTTCTCTCTCGTTTTCATTATAACCTCCAAACCTGCTTGTATTTCTGACTGTAATAAGTTAATCACATAGAACTAATAATTCTTTCAATCAACTCGTTGATTAACAATGTAATTAAAAAATAATTTTTATCTTTATTTGATTAAGTACTAAAATACCTTTATTTTGAAACTTTTTATT